GAGTGATACCAAAAAAGCACAGAATATATCGTGGAGAGAAAACCTCTGAATTTGTAACGACTAACATGCAAATATGTAGTAGCCCAAGAACAATCGTCAACCATGTTCCAGTGGAATTAACCTACTAAACTCTTCTCTGGACTTGCTCAAACTAAATTAGTGCAATAAAAGCCCGTGACAGCATAATGCATCTATGTGAATTAGGCATAATTAAATAAACCAAACGATAAAAAGGGATAAGCTAGTAGGACAAAATTTGGTGCGGCCTCATCACTCCTGCTGTTCACTCCGACACCCTTCCTTTTGATCGGCCGATCCGACTCGGACCTGCTGTCCGGGTCTCCCGGAATGGACATACGGGGAGGTTGCGATGAGTACGAATAATTCGTGTCGTGAAAAAGTAGTTTTATTCAAAATTTTACCATTCGAAGCGATTACAATATCTGAAATATTCATTTAATTTAAATTGTTAATAAAGGTTTTTCCGGTTTTTCAATATTGCATAATAGTTAAGGATAATTAAAAAGTATTAAAAACGAAAGGTATTAAATAGGCAAGCAATATGTAATAGAAAGCAAAAAAAATCGTATCTAAAATAAAACAGCATGTCTGCTTGTAACTCATATATCGTACTGTTCGCGATATTCTAATTCGTATTAAATGTTACCTGTCTGTACATAAAAGTCTACTAGTAACTAGTAAGATGGTTCATACCCACCTAGCCACTTACACATATTGACGACTGAATTTTGTTAGCAGTTTAAAAGCGCCAAAAGTGGTCCCAAAATTAATTTGATAAGTTTTTCAGCATAATAAATTCAAGCTTACCTGGCAAGCAGGATAACCGTATTAAAGGCCGAGTCGGGAGCGAGGTGCTTGGCAGCATTTACCTCGGCACGAATCAGACTTCCCAGACTAAGTTGAGGCGCCGTCACAATAGAGCTCTTTCGAGTGAACCGAGGACTTTGCCAGGGGCAGCCGACAGACCCAGCAACTAAGGCTGGTCGGACGACTTCCATTTCAGAGAGTTGTGAAGTTGACTGTCTGGCCAAAGTGTGGAGTCGAAAGATGTTCTGAATGACGGTGGTATAGGCTTGACGAAGACAAACGCTATTGCTGAGGGCGTCGGAGAACAAAGAGGCCAGACCCTGCACAAGGCTGTAGTAAGCTAAACAGAAGAGAGTAGCCGACAAAGAATCGATAGAATGTCCCGATGAGCTCCGGCTTTGATGACAAAAAGACGAAAAAGAAGAAAGGGTAAGAGAAATATAAAAGAGGAAAGGATGAAAATTCTAAATTGATGTATCGAGGCTGTGAATTTAACACCAATTTAACTGTAGTGCAAACTGTTATATCCCACAATGGGAGTAAACATAAAGAATCGTATGGTTACCTCTAAACGCCAATTCAACTGCGTTAGGCAAGGTGTAAAAACGGACCTCTTTGAAATGCTACCG